TTTTCAGCACAGCATGGCCACTGTAAAGCAGCCATCCTGTTATAGTGTAGCATGTATTTGCAGAGTTTTCAGGATCCTTAGTTAGACTACTCTAACGACAAGCTGTGGGGTTACGTCTCAGCTGTGGGTTTGACCACAGGGAAGAGCAGTGAGACAAACCCAGGGACACTGTTGAGACTGCTGCCTCCATGAAACACCAGGAGGTATGAAACCAACATGGCAGATACTGCTCTCAACACTGCGTGGAGTTCAACTGAAAGAAACTGCAGTGCACTTAATAATTATCCCAGGCCAAATTCTTCCTGGTTTTACTACACTTTATATCCAGTAGAATTGTGTAGTATTAAGGTACTGCAATACAGCACACACATACTCAGCAATGCTTTAGACTCATTAGCCAGTTGTGGCAGCAAGAAGCTCAGCACAGTCTATTTCAGTCTACTCTTAGTATGGTAGTTTTATCTTTTGGCCAATCAAAACTCAAAATCCCCACTGGAAACCTGAGAAGAATAAGAGTAGTGATGGGAGAGACCTGACAACGCACAGGATGTGTGAGATGGGAAAATAGTAAGAAGGCAAGAGAGATGTCATCCTTCTAGAAGCAATGTGGTCATGAAACCCTATTCTCAGCACTGCAAAAGCTTTCAGGCATCTGTCTGCTCTGTGAGTACAGATATACTGTCACAACCATGTACTGTGCAGGCAGAATGTCTTATTTTTCACAGACCATTCAATGCGGAAATTGGTTGGTGTGGTGAAGGAGGAGGTACCAGTGCATCACAGGATACAGGGCTTGTAGCTCAAGTCATGAAGCTAAGAGCTCACTGCTTCAGAGGGGGAATGTCCAGGAATTTAGGATTCAATGCAAAATTCTTTTTACTTGCAGTTCATACAGTGCCTGGCCTAACTCCTCCCTAGGAAGCAGGCACAAAGTCCTGCACAGAGTGAGGACAGAGCTAAAAGCTCTGCATTGGATCCTCAAGTGACACATGGTTCCCACTGCTTTATTGTAGTTTTGAGTATATTTTATGGAGCTACCTGAAGCTTGTGTGGATATGCTTTCATCATGGAAATAAAACCAAACAAAACATATACTTCCCTTTCAAGCACAAATCTTGATAGAGCTCTCAGAAAAAAACCCAAAAACTTAAAAGATTGAGAGAAATGCTATCCTTGCAAATATCTGACATACTTCCAGTTGCAAGAGCAAAACATGACCTTCTTGCTTCAGTATGATAAAAAAAAAAACAAACTCCACAAGTACTTATGCTACAGCATATTTAATTTGTTTATAAAATATAATATAGGAGCAGACATTTCTTTCAAGTGAACATCATTGTGTGTTTACCTATCAAAGTCTGCAATCTCCCATACAGCAGCCTTAATTGTTTGCATTACTTGAAAGATTAATGCAACTTAAAAGGTTTATTATGTCATCAGCCTAACTGTTTAATTGTTTGAAGTGTTGTTTTTTGATAAACTGATTTTCATAGGGGTGGCAGCTATGTAGAAGATTTCTTCTTACCTCTACTATTGATTGTAATCCAAGTCATAAGGAACGGAAACAAAAACCCCAAGCCTTTTACCCTGTAAAACTAAATCCATTTCTGGCTCTCCTGGAATAAAAGTCAGAAATGTCCTAAATTTTTATGTGTGTATATATATATATATAGGAAATGAGTTAGTTGTTACAAAGATAAAAGAGAAAGCTAACTTGGGCTTTGCAACCCTCTAGATAATTGTTAAACCTCTCCCTCCCCCCATCTCTTTTTTTTTTTTTCTCTTTGTGGAGATGGAGGGGCAATTGAAAGGCAATAAAGTGAAAGAAAAATATAAAGTTGATTGTATTAAGACCTGAGTGTCTGAGAGGTAACAGTACTGGGAAATTTCCATGTACCAAGTAGTATGGTCTGATAAAAGAAGACATTTAAATGCTACTTTCAAGACAGCTGTTCCAGTGGTAGGAACATATAGGATTGCGTCATGAAAACAAACCTCAGATAATTGCTGGGAAATCACCCCAAACTGCAGAGAGGAAAGGAATCAGTTGAACTACATACTATTTCTTTTTTGTCCAGAGGTTGTGGAGTGACACTGAGCAGCTAAACGTCAGGGATGCTTTCTTCCTACCTTGGGAATGTATGTTGCACTTGATCACATATCAGAGCTTTCTTGCTCTTGATGAAAAATGCCTGGAAAGGACTAATTCCATCTTTAAGGTAAACTCCAGACCTACTAACTGTTTCATCTCCACAAAAGGAAGGGCATCTTGAAGGTCTTCAGTGTAACTTGATGGCACTCTTAGCAGTGACCCCTCTTACCCTTGTAAAATTTCCTCCTGGGCAATTGTAAATAATCTTTCCCCACAAGGTCCTAATAGCCATTGCTAAAATGATCCTGGGCTTCTTCTCATCTGCTGACTCAGTTGATTTCTCAGGTTTTCTGTGGACCACTAACAACTCAGACCAAGTATCTGCACTCATGAAGCCACATTGCAGAAAATTACTAACACTAAATGAAAAGCAGTTGCAGAATAAACCTTGCAAATGTAGAGAGCTGTGATCCAAATCCAGGAAATGTGTGTTTGGATAAAACCTGAAGTCCTGAGCTTTTCATATGTATATTAATCTTAGCAAGAACTGACCTACTCTACTGAAATTATGCTAACATATTATCAGGTTAAGAATAACTTGGAAAAAAACCACCCCAAAACTGTAGCAGTTATTAAGATAATAAATAATAAGTCCCATAGGGACCATAGTGACACCAACGTGGTGTGTAACAAGAAGTCTTTTTTATTCAAGGAGTCCCAGCTTATATAGCAGTTTCAAATGTTGCCACGTCACACAGGTAACTTAAGCCAATCTCATATAAGCATTCAACAGAGCATGTGTGACAGAGTACTTAGAACTACAACTCCCAGGATGCTTTGCAGCACCTGGTATAACCAGGCCCCATAATTCCCCCATTTTTATTAATAAGAAGATAAAAAAAACAAGTGTAAATTTAAAAAACAGTGCAATTCTTAACAAAACGTTTTTCACTTGACATAGTAAACTTATTTCTTGATTAAACCTTATTTACCTAAGGGTCTTCTGTAATTGGGTAGAACAAAAACCTTTATCAATCTGAGGGTTTACACATAACTGGGGAAAACTTACTTTATTAAAACACAAGGAAAAGTTTAAAGGAGTAATATCATGTTTTGAGTTGTCTTTTATTAAGACGATGTATTAGAGGTAGTGTTTGTATAAGGTGTAAATGGTTCACATACATTCATACATTCACACAATTTCTCTTTCACTCATTCGGGTGGCCACCCCAATCATTCTTCATTCATGCATACATGTAATCTTTATTTTGTTTTCATATTCTAGCTATACGACTTAAACTTTTATGTAGTGTTTGGTCAGAATGAAAATTGTTTGACTCAGGATTTACTTACTTAATTACATGCATATTCTCACCCTCTACTCCCTTTTTTTTGTTGTGAATATTGAAAGTTAATGAATTTAAAGGTATAATACTGGTAAGTAGTGTGTATATTTCTGAGTGTGTACTTAGAAAAATGAATAGGTAAGTTACTATTACAATAGAAATTCTTAAAGATGCAAATTAGTACTTAAACGAGATAGTTACAAACTTAAACTTATTTAGATATATTTAAGAACTTAACAATTTTAAACAATACTCAGTAAATGTGACTATTAGTAATTTAAACAAAGCTACAGGGAAATTAGAAACTTAAAAATGTATTAATAAGGCAATGTTGAATTTTTCTCTCTTATTAGTGTAAATAGAAAACTAAAGACAGTTAACTAAATTATTTTAGACAAAAACATTCGTAATAATTTCTAGGGGCTTATATGTAAAACATGTAAAAACAGTCAGTAATATACTGTTTCTATAGTTTTGGCCCCGGCCCGGGTCTTTGCCCGGGCCGCTGCCGCCTCTCTCACGGGGGTGGGGAGGCGGCGTTGTCACTGTTGACGCTCCCGGAGGAGCCGGAGTCGCTGCGGCCATGGCCCGGTCCGCTCACGGTGGGGGTCATGTCGCTGGTCATCGCCACCGGGCCTCGGCTTGGCCTGGCGCCGCTCCCCCGTGGCGGCTGAGTGGCGGCGCCGCGCTGTGCCGCGTGTGCGGCTGTCCTGGGCCGCGCTGCTGTGGCCGCGTGGTCCGCTTCAGGGGAGCGGCGGCACGGGCGGGCTGGCTCGTGTAGTGGAACGCGGCCGTCAGCTCTAGGCATGGCCTGGCTGCCAGCACGGGCTGCCCGCGTTCCAGGTGCAGGCAGGTGGCGAAGGCCTCGCAGCTTGCGCCGCCGACACGCGCTCGCCGAAGCCGCTGCGCCGCCCCAGCTTCATTTACAAACTTGTGCCACAGTCCTGGTGTAAACCTGTTCGGCCGCCCCGCAGCTTCCCCTCAGGCACGGCGGCTGTCCCCCCAGGCCGGGGTTCCACGCGGAGCTCCGCCGGGAGCTCCACGCGGGTCGGGGGCACGGAGGGAGTCGCCGCCAGCTGCGGTGGGGCTTCCACGCTCGGGTCACCGCCTCCCTTTCGGCCGCGCCTCGGCCCGCTTGTGGCCTCCGGGCAGAGGCGTCCCGCGGCAGCGCCGCTCCAGCCACCTGGCCCCCTCCACGCTGTGCGCCGGGCCCGCCGCTCCCGATGGTGCCGCCGCCGCTGCCGCCATCTGGGTTTGCGCAGGAACCGCCGCCGCAGCCTGGTCGACACCAGCCGGTACCGCGAGAGAAAGCCCCCGTCGCCGCCGAGCCTCGGCCCGGGGGGGCCGCAGCCGCCGCCAGCAGTCCTGCGGAGCCTCGCGCAACTCCGCCCCCAGCCTGTCTCGCCGCAGCTGCCGAGCGTCCCGACAGCCTCATGCCTCGCGCCGCCCCGCTGCTTGCTCCGACCCGCTAACTGTGCGAGGGCCGCTACAGCAGCACGGAACTTCGCAAGCAGTCTTGACCTTGCTAATCTGAATTGCCGCTCCTGGCCCCATTTACAAACCTACGTTACACCCCCGGCGCAAGCCTGTTCGGTCGCTTGGTTCTCCGCTCGTAGTCTCGAGCGGCTCCACGCCGCTCCGAGACGCTCTGTCACGGCGTCTGGTATCATGGGCGTGTGGTCCTCTAGTTGCATTAGGAAGTCCACGAACGCTGTGGTGGACACCGCGGGCTTCATGTCGCCGTTGGCCGCAGGCGGGACATACATGCCGTTGGACGTGGTCCCGTCTGGGGGAGCGGTCACGGACAACGGCACGGACCCCCTCTCGCCGACTGCGCCACCCTCGGCGCCCTGCGCCGTCCCAACGCCCCTGCCCGGCGCCGCCCCGGGCGCGGCGCTGCCCGCAGCAGCCGGGTTGGGTTTGCTGCCTTTGGCGGGCGCGGGCGGGGGCGCCGCGGTGGGCACGGGGTCCGCATTGGTGCTGTCGCTTATGGCCCCGGCTCCGCTCAGCCGTTTCGGCTCAGAGTTTCCTCAATCCCGCCGCTGCCATGGTCCACGATGGGGCGTCCTCGCGGCGAGGCGGGGGTACTTGGTCCGTGGTCGCTGTTTCGCGCCACGCACCTTGCGGCTATCACGTTTTCCATCTTTTTTAAACATCGCGCCGCTGATGCTGGTAGGCACAGCAGCTGTTGCTTAGCTACCGGCTCCCAGCACAGACCATGTTCCATGCATGCCTCCAGCAGAGGCAGTCCACAACATGGCCACGAGACAGGAAGAGAATGCACTACTTCTTGCTCCCGGCATGGGCAAGGTGGCGCCGCCCATGCTTCGGTGTCGTCTCCACGTGTCTGCAGGTTTTTAATGGCTTGGGGATTCAAAGTTTGTTCCCTTTTACAGTCACACAATCCGCGACACGCACCTTCTTCCTGGAATTCACGCACAAAAAGGTATATTCTAAGGCTTTTCTTCCGTGCTCTCGGACCCCCTCCCCCTTTCCACACTGCAGTAGCACGTGGAGTTCCATGCTTTACAATATTTGGGGGAGGGGAAGATCCAAAGTTTCTCTCTGTGGACGAGTTCTCTTGCGAGGGTTTTAAAGTGTCCACCTTTTTTACTTCTGTTTTCTCTCTGCTTCTCCACCCCTCTTTCCAAGCAATTTCACTAAGAACTGTAAATAACAGCAGTCCTAAAACAGTTATTTTCATCAATTTTAAAAGTCCAGCTATTTTATGTTTGTTAACTTGTCTCCAAAGTCTTTTCAATATTAAGCTTAAGGCTTTTGCAATATTCTGCGGTTCACGTGAATTAAAAGTTTTCATTTTTTCTCTTTTTTTGTTTTCTTTTTTCTCCTGCCCTCTCACCTGGGACGTAGATTTTTCTTCTCGAGAGCATTCTCTCAAAACATAGGCAATTTCCTACCGAGTTCAGGCCTTTTTTCAAGCTCAATCGCGGTTTCTCCCGTCTACGCCCATCAGAGTTTCCTTTCCTCTGGTACCTGGCGTTTATTTCTTTTTCACGGCGGACGTCCCTCAGCGTTATTATAGGCTGGTTCCTGACGTCCGTATTTCTTCCTGATTCAGGATAAGGCTTAGGTCCCTGTTCCGGGCGCCATATGTAGCAGTTATTAATATAATAAATAATAAGTCCCATAGGGACCATAGTGACACCAACGTGGTGTGTAACAAGAGGTCTTTTTTATTCAAGGAGTCCCAGCTTATATAGCAGTTTCAAATGTTGCCACATCACACAGGTAACTTCTTAAGCCAATCTCATATAAGCATTCAACAGAGCATGTGTGACAGAGTACTTAGAACTACAACTCCCAGGATGCTTTGCAGCACCTGGTGTAACCAGACCGCATACAAGACAAGCAAAACTAAACAAACCACATCTATCTTTAAAATGCTTTCTCACATGCAATTCAAGTGTTTGATCCTAACACTGAATGCTATTATTTGGCACATAAAACTTGTTAAATATGTGAATTACTAGTGTTTTAAGCTGATATAGTGGAAGGAAAGCCTGGTCTCATTATCTTCAATCTCAGTGAGAATCGTGCGTTTAAAAAAACTGTTAAAGACTGCAGTGATTTCAAGCTTCAAAGACTTTTTTTTTTTTTAGAAGAGCAGTAGATAAATAATAATAATGGCCAGTCTTCGCGAGCAAAGATCCGGGGAAGGTCTTTACACCTTCCAGCCTGCACATTGGATTTTTTAGGTGAGACACAGTGTGCGCGGAACTGAGCCCACCCTTTAATCCTGAGGTTCATCTGCCGGGGCCAAGCAAGCTTGGACGGTGGCAGCGAGGTCCTCAGGACGTAGATGGGTTGCCTTTTTAAGGGCTAACGAGCTCCATCTGCCCGGGAGTGGCCCTGACCGGGAATTGAACCCGGGCCTCAGCGGTGACAGCACCGCGCCCTTACCACTAGACCACCAGGGGCTCCAGATAAATACATAGTGATATATAAACAGAGAGTACTCCATCTGTATCTGTCAATATAAATGAGACTTCCTGAGAGATGTATAAAAGGGCATTTTATTCTTTCCTATTTGACTCCAGTTACCACAGCATTTCTTCATTGTAACTATCTATTCTTACTAAGTAGCTAAGGTTAGCTGTAGCAGCAGCCACAATAGCATAAATTATATTATCAGTGAGGCAGTTCTTCTGAATACTGATACAACACAAAGAAGAAAACCCTCACAGACTGTAATGCACATTAGGAAGTCATTTTTGGTAGTCAGTGGGAGGGTGTATTGTTGTATCTCATAGAGACAAGAGTAATCATATTGTACTATTTATGCAGACGTTTTTCTGGCATGGAATTTAGTTGTGCAGGCTCAATACAAAATTTCAAGGGTGTGGTGGTGCCTCCTCTTCGGGCTGCTTTATGATCTCCAGAATTCTCTTTAGACCTTGGCCTTGATTAATGGCTCTTGGGAAGTTAAGCTTCCTTGAATTTCTTAGAAACACTGTCTGTACAAGGAACTTCCGTTGCCTAAACCAAGGAAGGGGACAAGAGATAATCAGTTTCTCTGGATAGCCTTGGAACATCACTTGCATGAATCATAGCTTGAAACAATATTATTGTTACTGGACTTCTGAAAAATTCTAGTAATTATTGTCTTGGATTATGACTGGGATAGAGATTGACTGATGACTAACTTCCATCATTGTGGAATCCTACAAACAGGCATCCTAAGTGAGGCTCTTTGAGGTCTCCTGGACCACAGTGGGCTGCAACCAGCATCTCCCTCTGAGTGGGACACCTCTCGGAGCTTGCCAGCTCTCAAGTTTGCAATAATTGGAGGATCATCACCAAAAACTGATGGTGGAGCCTAGGTTGATACCCCTAATCCTCGAGGCTCAAACTTTTCCCACTGGGAAATGCAGAGGCATTTGACTTGAGTATTTCACTGAACTCAAGGGGAATTTTTTAACATATTGTCATAGTTCGGATTTTTAGCAAGGAATTTTTCTTTCCCCCTGCTGTGTGTGTGTGCTCTGTATATGGGCCATTAGTTGAACAAAAGAATAGGCCTGAGTCCACTAATGGCTGAGATTTGTTTCCTTGACAACGAAGGGGGGGAGTTGGCTGGTGTGTGACTGGAAGGGGGTGGAGGCGGGGGGGGGGGGGGAGTCTCTCTCTGCCTAGAGGAGAGCCTGCTGCGGGCTGCAGACACTGCCGGGTTCCTTTGTCTCTTTCCTGTCGGAGGGGAGTTCTGGCTGCTGCTCTTGGCTCAGCTGTGGCTGGCTGCAGGCCCTGCTTACAACGGACCCTAATCAGCTGAAGTTTGTGAGTTTTCTTCCATTGGGAGAACTTTCTGTTTTATGGCTGTTGTTTTCCTTCCCCTTCTTTCCCCCCCCCCACCACCTGGTGGCAGCCAAGGATCTCACAGCGCTGCCTGGTGACGGGCACTGGACATTACAAGTTCTACTCCTCCAGTGACCCAACAGCGCCACCTGGTGAATGGTACAGGACATTACAAATTTTGCATCTCCAGTGACCCGATGGCGCCCCCTGCTGACTGTGGTTGAAACCGCACCAAAGGGTGCAAGAAATTGAACTATTTTCCTTTTGCCGGTTTGTCGGTTTTGTTCTTGAAGGGGATAGGAGTATTACTTAGTTATTTTACTTGGTTTTTTTGTTTTTTTTTTTTTTTTTAGTTCCTGTTAATACACACATACCTTTTAATAAAGGGCTGTTATTTTCCCTTTTCCATAATTTGTTTTCCTTCAATCGAAACCTCTTAATTTTGGATTTATAATTGCTTGGAAAGAGAAGTTTGGGTCTTTTCCTCCTAATCCATCCTCAGCAAAAGACCTTTGTCTCATTTAAACTGGGACACATATATACCTTGGTACACTTGTATATACATCTCTGTGTCTCTGTGTATGTGTGTGTGAGAATTGATTCAAACACCCTATAGCAAGTATAGTATGAATGTTGCTGTCTCCCATCTGTGCTTAAGTCATTGTTGCAATTGTAGTAAGTCCTACTGAATCACTTCATAAAATGATAAATTAGAAAATAATTAAGACCTACTAAATCCCTTAGATATAGACTGTTGACTACTGTCTGGTACTCAGGTGGGACACAGCTGCACCCAGGCTCCACCAGGAGTTCAGAAAGCAAGAGGATCCTCTCTGAACCTTGTGACTAAAAGGAAGGGTTTCCTTCTCCTTAGCCTTTTGCATCCTCAGTCTCCTTATAAATCATACTAAATTGTTTCTAATCTGCTTTTCCTTTGTATGTTTCATCCATAAAGTAAACAGTAGAGTGAACCTTGCCATCAAACATTGTCATGCTTTTCCCAATTTATATTGAATCTGCTTTTGTAATACCTTTTACAGTGATTCTTTAGGCAACTTAGACCATTCATTCACAACAAAGAGTCAAGAGTGGCTCACAAAGTCACTTTGTTCAGTGAGCAGTTAGTTCATTTGCTCTGATCACAGAGATTTCTTGTCTCACTGGAATTGCTCAGGTTCCCAGCCTAGAAGTACAGTATGTTCTGTGGCCTGTGCAACACAAATAATCCAGTAGAAGGAAAGATACAGTACATAAAGTCAAAGCTGTCCAAAAGTGTGAAAATTTGATTTTTTTGGGCAGGAAGCTAAGGAAACATGAAGAAAAATTTCAACAAGTAATTAATTCCTTCTTGCTGTGGTAAATTCCAAACAGTATCTGAAGAATGCTTTATGTCTGCAGATTAATTCTGTCTTTCCTTTAGGTCCCAGCATAACCTGCAGGGCTTGACAGTTTTCCAGGGCAAAGCCCAACAATTTAGCCAACTAGCTTACATGAGAAAGAGTGAGGTTCAGGGAAAGCATAGGTCTTAACATGGGCTATGTGCCTCTTACTCCAAGTCTTGAATCAGTGCTTACACTCGTGTTCTTGGAGTGCTTTGTTGGTCCTTCAGATTAGTCCTCTGTAAATGTAGAATATTAAGTTTATTTGAAGCTACTGCAGTCTATAAATATTGAAGTGCCTACTGCCAGTTTTGTGAATGTAAGACTCACACTGCACTAATAGAAATTATATATTCTATCACAAATGAGGAGGACTTTCAAGAGACACTTATTAACACTGAGGTATTACATACCTAACAAGCAAAAAGTCCTAATAAGTAAAGAAGGAAAATAACTTTTGCATT